AAGCTATGAACTCTTCCAATGAATTGCTGTATTGCTGAAGAAGGATTTGTTTTTTGTTTGTGTGTTTTTTTGGAGTCTTGATATGGGGAATAAATGGACTATCTTAAACCCTTGTTTATTTTCAACTATTTATCAAAGAAGTTTCTGTAAATCTTCCTTTGCAATGAAAGACATGCAGTGAAGTCAAAGAAGTCTGTCTTTACATCAGAAATAAGAGAATTGCTTTTAACTTTCCTTGGTTCCATGATATCAGTTGTTTTTCCAAGGCTAAAATCCTGTACAACATATACACACATAATGTTTCAAGCAAATGATTTGTGAATACAGAATTGGAACTAGGATGCAAGTATAAAACAGTAAGATTCCAATAGCAGGTTTTCTCATAAACACATTATATTTAAATGCATAAATCAGGGGTGTCAAACACAAGGCCCAGGGGTCGGATCCGGCCCGCAGGGTGCTTAGATCTGGCCCACAGGGCCGCCCTGGAAACAGTGAAGGACCGGCCTGCAGGACAGGGAAAATGGAGCTTGTGAGAGCTGCATGGGGCCCTCTCAAGCTCCGTTTTCCCTGGCAGAGGGTTGCAGGAGGCCGTCGCAGCCGAAAACGGGGCTCAGGAGCCCATTTTCACTGGCAGAGCACCAACACAAGTGACGTCATGCTGGCCATGCCCACCCCAGCTCCCCAAGGTCAAACACAACCCTGACGCAGCCCTCAATGAAATCGAGTTTGACACCCCAGGCATAAATGTTCATGAGCTAGAGTTCATTTCATCAGATGCCTAGATGGGATAGACATCACTAGTGGCAGCTGAAGAAAGCTTACTCCTTTGAATAAAATTTGTTAATCAGAAAAGTGCTACCAGATCCTTTCAGGTTTCTTTGTCAATGATTCTCCTCCTATTATGGATACAGCCATAGTGCAGTGGTGGGTTCCTCCTGGTTCTGTCCGGTTCAGCCAAACCGGTAGCGGTGACGATATGACATCACTGAACTGGTTCTCCCCCCCACCCCCCCCACATTATTCTTACCTTTTATTTGGTCCCACCCCCAATCTATTGCTGCCTCCTGAATCCCAGCTGATGACTAGAGGGGAAAAAACTGTTTAAACTCTTGCTGTGGGGCTTCAAAGGGCCGTCCTACAGCTGATCAGTGTTAAAAGCAAACAAATGAGTTGGGTCGTAAGTGCGAGGACTGGTCGTAAGTGCGAGGACCTTCCAGAAATGACTCTGACCAGCTAGCCACGCCCACCTAGTCACATGACCTCCAAGCCACACCCACAAAATAAGCCACACCCACAGAACCGGTAGTAAAAAAAATTAGAACCCACCCCTGCCGTAGTGGATTATGTTTAATTTGAATGAAAGCCGATGCTCATTTTTTGTATATCTACAAAAGTGGAGCACTTATGATTTTACCCAATGCTGATGTGTTAGTTACTTACAGGTAGTCCTCGACGTACGACCATAATTGAGCCCAAATTTCCATTGCTAAACAAAACAGTTGTTAAGTGAGTTTTTTTGCCCCATTTTATGACCTTTCTGGCCACAGTTGTTCAATGAATCACTTCAATTGTTAATATGGTAGTAACATGGTTGTTAAGTGAATCTGGCTTTCCTATTGACTTGGCTTGTTAGAAAGTTGCAAAAGACCGTGACCCTGCAACACTGCAACTGTCATAAATACCTGCCAGTTGCCAAGCCTCTGAATTTTGATCATGTGACCACGGGGATGCTGCAAGGGACGTAAGTGTAGAAAACGGTCCATGAGTCACTTTTTTCAGTGCCATTGTAACTTTGAAAGACCACTAAACAAATGGTTGTAAATTAAAGACTACATATGCACTCTGAAGGTAATGGAGGCAAAAGACACACATAGAAAGGCACACAGATGCACACAGGTCTTTTATTAAAATTTAGACAACAGCACTCAGTAATATGTGTTGCGTTCTGGTTTTCATGAAGTTGCCTGATTAAATGACTCGTACTGTTAGCAGCATGTTCTTAATGATTAAGTTTGGCTTTCAGTGATGTTAACAGAAGAGCAGGAGGGAACAAACAGATGCAGCATTACAATGGAAGATCTGCCCCTTATCACCACGCACATTGCAAAATGATGCCTTAATACTGCTTTAATCATTCTGAAGCAAGATCCCGCAGACATCACTGTTGACTTCTGTAAGGAAACATCAGCCCAGAGTCTTCCTAATCGAGTTTTACAGAGCTCTTTTTTATATATAAAATAGGTCATAGAGAATCTAAAGAAGCCAGATTCTGGGAATTATTTATTTTATTTATTGTTTACGTGCCGTCCCCCCCAACCTCACCTCTGGGTGGCTTACATTATAATAAAAAGTTAAAAAGGTAATAATACAAAGCAGTTCAAATTAGTAGAATTAAATAGAAAGCTAAAAACCAAGAGGGGGGACGACGGGGGGGGACACAGAGGTGGTATTCAGCAGGTTCTGACCAGTTCTGGAGAACTGGTAGCGGAAACTTTGCATAGTTCAGACAACCAGTAAATACCACCTCTGACTGGCCCTGCCCCCATCTATTCTCTGCTTCCTGAGTCCCAGCTGATCTGAATGGAGATTTTGCAGTATCCTTCCCCTGGAGTGGGGTGGGAATGGAGATTTTACAGTATCTTTCTCCAGCCATGCCCACCAAGCCATGCCATGCCTACCAAGCCACGCCCACAGAACTGATAGTAAAAAAATTTGAATCCCACTGGGGGGGCATCTTTTCTACCCTTTCAGCCAGCCAGCATAGTGTGCCCCTATTGGACTCTGAGGCCAGTTGGCAGAACTGGAAGGCCAGGAGTTGTGGGGGCAGTCTTCCAGTAGAAGAACAATCCAGAGGGCAGGGGCCACAGCAGAAAAGTTTCTTCTCCTGGACTCTGGCAATGAAAATCTTTGGTAGATGGAATCCCAAGTAGGCCTCTTCTGTTGGAATGAGTGGGGGTGGATTAGTCCCATCGGGGTGAAATGGATCCACAGATATCCTGAACTCATATCCTTAAGGGCTTTTGAGGTAATTATCAACATCTTGAATTGGACCCAGAAGCAAACTGGCAACCAGTGTAGCTTATGTAACAGCAGGGTAACATGTGCCACCCAAGAGGGCTCCAGAGCTGTCTGTGCTGCTGCGTTCTATGCTATTTGTAGCTTCCGAATACTCTTCAAGGGTAGACCCATGTAAAGTGTGTTGCAGTAATCTAGTCAAGAGATAACCAGTGGTTAGCAATCCCGACACATGTAGAAGGCTCTGGGTGAGGAGACTGTTCTGCAATATGTATTGTTGGACTGATTTCTGATACATATTTTTAATTAGAGGAATATTCTTTCAGTAATTCACTAATATTCAGCCCACATAAGAAAGCTACATCTTAAGCTTTCATATGTTACTAATACTGTGTGATTTTTATTCCTGTCACTTTCTATGAGTACTGCTATTCCTGGGGTTTTAAATATTCACATGCATTAAAGCTAATCAGTAAGACCTTGACTGTAGATTTAAATAAAACATTTATTTAATTCCTTCAGTAGAGAAAAAATATATAAAGTAATCTTAATTCACAAGCTCTTGCTGTAGTCATAAACTGGCATGACCTAATCCTTAACTTAATATAATTTCACAAAAATACTCTTACCATTATTAAAGAAATAATTACATTATTACAGTAGTGCCAAGTAAGTGCAGCTGATCCAGAAAGATACATAAAATACTTCCAGATGAATTTACCAAGGTTAACCAAAGCAACTAAAACGCTTCTGAAGGAACCATGAATTGTTAATTAAAAAAAAATACTGTTGGCAAATTAAATCCACCTACTTGAAAATATAGTTGTGATTTTGCAATTACGGTTGATGGTCCGTGATTATCATATGGAAATCTGTCTACAAATTATACAATCTACAATCTGCAAATTATATGAGATAGTGACAGAATATGTGCCAGCTATATAAGGATTTATTTATTCATTTCAATTTATATGAGTGTGTAACTCTTATTCATGACTCTTAGTGGCTAACAACAGTTAAAAACACTATATGACAACACATAACAAGAATGCAAACATGATTTGCAGATGAAATAAAAAAATCAAAAGAACCTGTAAACAAATAAACACAATTATGCCGGTTCTGTTACACATTTCCCAAGCTTGTTGACACAACCATCTCTAGTTTTATGATTCTATGATTCTAGTAGAAGGGTCCTGAGGGGACATTAATACAATCGAATGAGTCCAGAGATATTTCAGGAAAAGAGTCCTCCACACCTCTGCTCGCAAGAAAATACCTTATGCCACCAGACTTGACATTTTGGGCTTAGACAATTTAGAACTATGCCATCTTCAGTATGACCTAAATGTAGTAGACAAAATTATCTGCTACAATGTCCTACCAGTCAATGAATACTTCAGCTTCAACCAAAACAATACAAGAGCACACAATAGATACAAACTTAAGGTAAACCGATCCAAACTAGATTGCAGAAAATACAACTTCAGTAACAGAGTGGTCAACGCCCGGAATGCACTACCTGACTCTGTGGGTTCTTTCCCAAGTCCCCAAAACTTTAACTTTAGACTGTCTACTGTAGACCTCATCCCATTCCTAAGAGGTCTTTAAGGGACGTGCTTAAGGGCACCAGCGTGCCTACCGTCCCTGTCCTAATGTTCCCTTTTATATGTATCCATTTCATGTATTCATAATTATGTTTACACTTGTACCTGTTATCAAATACATGCTTGACAAAATAAATGACTGACTGACTGACTGACTGACTGACTGACTGACTGACTGAATGAATGAATGATGTTTCCAGAATGGGCACCATGACAAGGTCCTGCCAGATGTCTTCCTGGGTCCTGCCAGATAGGACCCAAAGCAGTTCTCTTCCGCCTAACAGGATGTTTTTATTATTTTTTTAATGAAAGTTAAAGGAAAACTAGATTTTATTTAACCGTGTTTTAATGTTTCCTTTTCATTCTTTCCTACAGATGATGATTTTTTTCACGAACTCCCAGAAACCTTTCCTTCTGATCCCCCAGAACCTCTTCCTCATTTTCTCATTGAGCCGGAAGAAGCTTACATTGTCAAGAATAAGCCGGTGAACCTCTACTGTAAAGCCAGCCCGGCCACTCAAATCTACTTCAAATGCAACAGCGAATGGGTTCATCAGAAGGACCATATTGTAGATGAAAGGGTTGATGAAACCTCTGGTGAGTTGCAATTACTTTGGGGAAAAAAATGTATAATAGCTTTGGTAGATAGATTGCTTTAAATCCTGTTGCAGTAAGGTGATAATGGGAAGTCCATAGACTACTTATAGTAAAGGCAACCTTTTTGTGGAACCCTAAATAGGTAGAACCAAATATTTTAGAAACATATTTTGGAGAAGGCGATTTAAAGGGTGACATTAATGCTTTTATATTTATATTTATATTTACAGGGGGCTGTGAGTTTAATCCTAGGTAGAGGCAAATATTTCTCTCCCTGGGCACAATGAGAATATATCTGCTGAACAAAACTCTGCCTTGGCGACAGGAAGGGCATCCGGCCAGTAAATACTCTGCTAGCTCCATTTAGTTGCCCAGATTCCACCCTGCAAGGGATTATGGGGTCGTTAGAAGAAGAAGAAGATGATGATGATGATTAATGCTTTTATATTTCCATACTATCCCTTAAGAATTCTAATAATTCACAAGTAAGGCAGATTTTTCTCATGGAAAGATTAAGGCTAAAGCCTTAACTGTTCAACTGTTTGTTGTTTTTCATTCAAAAAATCTTACTTCTAATCAAATAGAGGTACCCTCAACTTACAACCATAATTGAGCCCAGAATTTCTGTTGCTAAGCAGGATAGTTACCCCTGTTTTCCCCCGAAATAAGACATCCCCTGATAATAAGCCCAATCAGGCTTTTGAGCACATGGCCATAAGGCCAAAGGCTTATTTCAGGGTTCAAAGAAATATAAGACAGGGTCTTATTTTTGGGGAAACACGGCATTAAGTGAGTTTTGACCCCATTTTACAACCTTTCTTTCCACAGTTGCTAAGTGAATCACTGAAGTTAAGTTAGTAACACGGTTGTTAAGTGAATCTGGCTTCCCCATTGACTTTGCGTGTCAAAAGGTTGCAAAAGGTTGTGACCCTAGGACACTGCAATCATCATAAATACATATATCACAAACATCCAAATTTTGATCAAGTGACCATGGGGATGCCACAACAATCGTAAGTGTGAAAAATGATTATGTCACTTTTTTCAGTGTTGTTGAACTTCGAACAGTCATTAAGTGAATGGTTGTAAGTCGAAGACTACCCTTAAGTATAATTTATAGTCACCCAAATTAGAGATCAACATCTATGGCTTTTCATCACTTAATAAGAATCAAACTTTGCTGGAGGGTAACTATTGTCAGAACTATATAGAATCAGTTTCAAAAATATTTTTTTATATTGAATCCACATACAGATATATGATATGTACACTCTTAACTGCTTAGGGCACAGAAACGCTACTTATCTACATTTAGTATTCTATTTTTATTATATTAAGTATTCTGAAATATTTTTTCTGTCTGTCTGCTTGTCTATCAATCAAGAGGCTTGAAAAGGCATCCCCTGAGCTATAAACCTATTTGTGTCAATGATGTGCTTCTTATTTTCTGAAAGATTAATAATCAATACTTGGGATCACATTCAAAAATGGAAGATTGAAGCTTGTGCTCTTTGACAGCAATGAAAAATAACTTGCTAGCAAGCAATTTCTTTCACAGGGGAATGGAACACTTTGTCTAATTACTCAAGGAAAAAAAAATCCACTCGGTACATGGAATGTATAAAAATTTCATATAAACTCAGTTCAATACTAAAAAAAAATCTCTTATCTTTTTAATATTTGAGAATACAGATTTGTAAGCTGTTGTAGCAGGATCATTCTTGAATTAGAGAAAAAACCACAGTTTTTTTGTTTGAAATAATAATATTTGGGGGGGTGGAATTTTCAGAAGAAATTTTCACAATTCGGGAAGACAGGTGGCTGTTTTGAAGAAATCAGAGTTATTTTCTACTTTGTCTAATATTCATATTCCATGAGTCCTTTTGCCCAAAAGGTACTGACAAGGCTTTATTACATGAGTAGTCCACTTCTACATTGACTAACTAAACAAATAGCTGTAGGTATGGCTATTTTAGCTGCTGATCCTTAATCATGAGTTCTTTAAGGAGACCCATGTTTTTTCAGCGTCTCTAATTTGGAGAAATGGTTGGGTGGACATTAAACACCACCTAAGAACCGAATCAATTTCATTATTCACAGAACAGTTGGATCAGGAAGGGATAGTTTCTCCAAATCAAATAAACTAACTAATAAACTAAACTAAACATTGATGTTTTCACCTAAAGTTGTATATCTCCTGTCCAGGACAATTTTGGATTTTCTATTCATACAATATTTCCTTGCCATGATTATAGGAGTGTGTTGGGCAATAGCCAGATATAATCTGAAGGAATGACAAAAGAAGAGAACTAAAAGCCCATGAGTTTTTAGTCAAAGAATACCACGTTTTCATATGTCTATTTGGATAATGACATGGTTCTGATAGAACAGGGCTGTCAAACCCGCAGCCTGCGGGCTGGATGCGTCACACGCTGGTCATGCCCATGCCCGGTTTAGCAAAGGGGGGGGGGAAAGTCCCGATACATCATGTGACACCACCGTGACAATTCGGGTTTGACACCCCCCCACCCCTGTAATAGAATGACCTCCTGTCATAAAAAACGTGGTAGATCTTTCATTGTCTATATACCCAGGATTGTAATCTCACCCCACTGATTGTAATCTCACCCCACCCTCATAGATAGTTTTACTGTGTGAGCAAGAAAGTATATTATAACATTGTATACAGAAGGACTTTGCAAAACAGGAAAAAAACTTTCCAGAGAGAAAAAAAAACTACTTCCCTGCATTATTAGAGCAGCAGCATCCTCTGGAGCTAGTTTGGTGTACTGGTTGAGACATCAGGTTAGACCTGGGAGACCATGAGCTCTAGTCCTGCAGTAGCCACAAAGTCAGCTGGTACGATAGTATATGGGAAAGACTTGGCAAGGAGTCACGAACCAATTAAGTGAACTAATTGTCTCCTGCAAACTCCACTCCCCTTTCGTTCCTCTTTTATTTCCTCTGAGAGGGGCCATTCATTGTCCACCTGTGGCCTTAGTCCCAAGTCGACCCTTGTCCTTTAGCTGTTCCCTTCGTCTGGCAAATCTGCACATGCGCACACTGGCAACAGGCTCCAGCTGTTCGTCTGCCTCACTGATGTCTGACTCCGAAGGCAGCATATGGCTCTGGCCCCCACTCTGCCTCCGACACAGAACCCTCATCACAGCCTTCCCCAGACTCCAGGATTGGCCCATGTTCCTCCCCAACCTCCTCACTATCCGAATCTGCTGCCAGATCCGCTGGCTGCTGGTGGGTCACAACATAGAAAAGAGTTAACATAGTTAACAGCTGGTTAGTGAGTGGGGCAAGACTTCATAAGAGACCCTCTCTAGTATCACAGACGTAAAAGAAACAAGGGGGGGGATGCACTTTCAAGAGCCTGCTAATATAGCTTTACAATAAAGTAAAATTAGATCATCTGATTGTGATTCCTATCAGGTTTACCCACAAGACCAACAACAATCTTGCATGTCTGAAAGTACAGTTCATCCCATTTCTTTATAGCCTGAGAAATTGCCTCTAGACTCAGTCTCCCAAGGTTTTTCTCACATATCACCACAACAATCTTCCAAGCAGCCATGTAAGCATTTTCTAGTGCTAGCAAGCTTTGGAAAGACTGTCTTTCCAATGATTGCAAAGCCCTAGTAGCCAGTCAGATCACATGAGTGGTAGAAATAAGAATCCAGATTATGGGGGCAATAAGCTGACTTTGTATAAATATACAAAAGTATGAAGGCTATTGCTTAACACATTGTAAGCCGCCCTGAGTCTCCGGAGAAGGGCGGCATATAAATCAAATTTAAAAAAATAAATGATGAAAAGTGTCGTTTTATGGTCCTTTATTTGAATTTTTTTTTCTTAAACTGCTTACAAATTTTCCATAGAAATCATACCATTCCCATAAATAATTATTCACATTGTCATGATTTTACTTCTGTGTAATATAATCTAGCAGAAAAGCATCATGCATTAAAATCTTTGGTCTAAACCGTATGTGAAACCCAGGGAATAATACAGGTAGTTATTGCTGCTGATGTATTTATTTTTCTCATTTTATGGTTTAATTCTCAATAAACAATCTTGTAAAGAGCTATTGAACCTTCATGTTGGTTGTTGGTATGTGAAAGAAGATAAAATTCACATTCTCCCCAGTCCTGTTGCTATAGTTGCACCGGCATTCAAATATTAAGAAGTCAAGTGCATTTGTACTTGATTTGATCTTAGAAACAGGTTTTTTTCTCCCTAAACCAGTGTTTCTCAACCTTGGAAGCTTGAAGATGGCTGGGGGATTCTGGGAGTTGAAGTCCACCCATCTTCAAGCTTCCAAGGTTGAGAAACACTGCCCTAAACCCTCACATCTTAAACAATGACCGAAAACAACGCAAATCCATATGAGGAATAGCAAACTTTGGCCATGGTACTGGTAATAAAAGGCATCTGTTAGGCTGAGATTACAGTGATGGAGGATCAGAAATGTGAATGAAAAATCTAATGTTGCATATCTGAAATTGTAAAAATGTAAAGAGATTAAAGAAAGCCATCAAAGGACTGTAAGAAAATATGTTCATCAGTGCTGGAAGGGCCAAACCATATATAATTGTGGACTCGTGTTTTTTTCTCTTGCTCCGTCCTTGACTCTGTTTCTGTTCACAAGAATGGATTTTTCTCATTGATAAACATGGCACAGCAGTATTTTATAATCCAGGAATAATTGAGGATGCAGAAAATAACAAGGCTGGGTTTAGTTATTCCCATAAAGAATAACTGGAAAAACTGTGCCCTCAGAGGCTCAATTATTTTAATAGAAACAGGCTTATAATCTACTTGCTGACTAAGGTGGAAAGTTAATATCAGTGTATATGATGAAATATTTCTGAGCATCTTAATGCTGGCAGATGTAATGTAATATTACAGAGTTGAATGCTATAAAGGATCAATGAAGCCATGGATTCTTCTTTTTATTACTGCAAGGACAATGACAAATAATGAACAGTTTT